TAGATGAATAATACTCATACTATTACTATGTAACTTCACATTCCTTTGCCCCTGCCAAAAACTTTACAACCATATCATCTCTTTGCTAGCCTCAATGATAGCAATGTATTTAGGTTTTTGGTTGAAAGTACAATAATCTTCTGTAACTTGGAAACCCAACTCCCAGCAATCTCCTACTATCAAGATCTCCAGTAAAATCAAAATCTACATACCCTTATAGATTAATCCATGTATCTCCAAAGCAAAAAGCTTTGTCAAATGATCCATTCAAGTACCTAAGAATCCACTTAACTGACTCCCAATGAAGTTTGTCTGGGTAACTCATGAATCTACTGACTACTCCCACTGCATATACTATATTTGAACTTGTACAAATCATAGCATACATCAAACTTTCAACTCTTAAAGCATATAGAGTCCTCTCCATCTGTTCTTACTCTGATTTAGATTTAGGCGATTGCTCCTTATATAGCTAAATGTGATTGCCCAAGAGATCAAACTGGCTTTGTCTCACTCATGTTGAATCTTTGAAGCACATATTTAACATACTATGCTTTAGCATACCTGCACTTCTATCTCTGTTGATTCTCGTATAGAAATTTTCTTTGGGACCCAAATCTTTTATTTCAAATACCTTTGATATCTTATCTTTTACATATCTAACCATATAATTAACTTGTCATCCACATGCAAAAGCAGAATAATAAAATAGTTATCAAAATATTTGAAGAAACAATAGTGATCTACCTGGCATTTCATGTACCAATTATCTGACATAAATATATCAAATGTCATGTACCATTATCTTAGTACATGCTTCAGCCTATATAGGCACTTTTTGAGCCTACACATTAGATCTTTACCAGTGACCACATATCTCTAAGGTTGCATCATGTATAACACTTTCTCAAGGTCACCATGAAGAAATATTCTTTATATACATCTGCTCTAAATGTAATCCTCCTCTATTACTATGCTCAACACAAATCTAACTATAGTTATCTTCACTACTAGAGAGAAAATTTCAGTATAGTCCACACGTTCCTTCTTCTAAAAACTTTTAAGTACAAGTATGGCCTTGTAGTGCTTACTACCATCAGGTTCTTCTTTCAACTTATAAACACACTTTTTTTTTAAAACTTATAAACACACTTGTTTTGTAGCGATTTTTGCCATTTGGTAGCTTTATCAATTCCCAAGTCTGATTCAATTCAAGTGAATGCAACTCATTATCCTTGACTTTCTCTACTCTTTTGAATCATTCACTTGAATGGCCTCATCGTAACAATCTAGTTCACCACCATCTGTAAACAATAGATAGTATAAGAAAAGATATATATTTGTACATCATCAGCTTTGTCTTCTTGATCATCATCATCCTCTATCTCTTATTTCTAGGAATCTACAAGTCTCTCATTTTTATCCTTATACATTTCATTTTTATTGAATTTAACATTCTTGCACTTATGAATTTCTGATTCTGATTATCCCAAAATTTATAATCAAATTCATCTGAGTCATATCCAATAAATGCACACTTGATAAATTTTGGATTAAGCTTACTCATAAATCCTAAATCAATATAAACATAGGATGAATAACCAAAAAAGTTGAGGTGAGATAAACTTACCTCCTTGCTACTCCAAGCTTTCACAAGTAACCCCTCATTTAAAGGAATTGATGGTCCATGATTGATCAAATAAACAACATTATTCACTGCCTATGCCCAAAACTATTTGGGTAGACCAGCATGCAGCCACATGCTCTTGGCACGCTTAGTGATAACTCTATTCAGGTGCTATACAACACCATTCTGATGTGGTGTACTTGGAACAGTGAACTTATGTCTGATCCCATTCAAAGCATAATACTCATTGAACTTAATATCGCGATACTCACCACCATTATAAGATCTGAGACATTTGAGCTTTAAACCTATCTTATTATCAACCATGGCCTTATATTTCTTGAAAATATCATACACATCAGACTTGTGTTTTAAGTAGTACACCTACATTTCTACTGTGATCATCAATAAAAATTACAAAATAGAGAGAACCTCCTATATAAGAAATAAATACATGACCTCATGCATCAGTATACACTAACTCCAACTTCTTTGAAATTACTTTTGAATCAATTTTTGAAAAGCTCATCCTTTATTACTTGTCATATATACAGTCTTTATAAAAATCTAAATTTATAGATTTTAAACAAGAAAGCTTTTCTTTAGTAAGAAGATAATACATACCTTTCTTATTCCTTACTCATATGATCAAAGCATTCAATTCCAAAGACCTCCATCAACATCTAATCAACTACTCCAATAGAATATGATCATTTATTGATAACATATAAGGTGGCTTCAATACTGTCATAATTATAACCAAGGCCTCTTTTGTAACCTTCCACGGATCTCCTATAAATAATGTCATATGGCTTGAGTTTGTAGCTAACTCACATAAATTAAATTTCTCATTAGACCAAAAACATGTCTAACATCCTTGAGTCTCCAAGTTGACCCATCTAACATTTTCATATCAACATCTCTCTATCCTATGATGTTGCAAGGCTTGTTGTCTCCTAGATACATTTTGTCCATATCACCTTCTATGTAGTCCTTGAACATCTCCTTGTTATGACTGGCATTAAATGAAGCATCTAAATTTATAACTCAAGATTTAGAACTATTCAGAGACAAAAATCATATAATCTGACTGAAACACTTCTGGATAGTGGATATATATATTTATAGTGATTTTTGTCTTGACCTCCACCACTAAACTTATTTGGAACAATACAATTCTTATTCAAGTGACCATTTTTTCCATAGTTCTAGCACGCAACTTTCACTTTATATGAAGTAGACTTTTCTCTTTTGGATTAAAATCTTCATCTACTTGGTTTTTTATCTAAAACCTTTCTCTGACTTCAGCATTCAAAGCAGAATTTGAAGATTCACTATTTACCTTCCTGCAAATCTCTTCATTAAGCACTAACCCCACAATATTCTCAAAGTTCAATTTTGAACTTCCTGAAGAGTTACTCACAACAGTAATTAGTCCATCCCAACTATCTAGAAATGAAGATAACAACAACAACAACACGCTCACCTTATCATCAAACTTGATATCAACTGAACACAACTAACCCATCACAATACTCAAATTATTCAGGTGCTCTGCCATTGAACTATTGTCTAACATCTTCATATTAAATAACTTCATCAAATGCACTTTGTTTGAGTTCGAAGGCTTCTCAAACATCTTAGTCAGTGCAGCTATGAAATTGACTGTAGTCTTCTCATTTATAATGTTGAATGCACTAATGAGAAAAGTGAAAGTCCAATCAAACCTAGGGTTGTCCGATCATGAACCTCTCACTCCTTCATAGTCATTGAATCCGACTTCTTGGTGATTCAATTCAATGGTAAATACAACTTCTTCTTATACAAGATATCTTCAATTTGCATCCTCCAGAATGTAAAGTTCCAAATCTTTGAACTTCTCAATCTTGTATCTTACTTTGATAGTCATTACTCCTACTCGAATTAAAACGTGACTCTGATAATAGTTGTTGAGTAAAGTAAAACCATGCAACGAAACAAATAAGAAAGATAAAATACAATGGAAAAAAATGAACACTAGTATTTAGCGTGAAAAAAACTGAAATAAGGAAAAAATCATGGAGGCACACCACACCAAGAAATTCACTATAAAAATTTGGGAGAATTAGCATAGATCTCTCTTCTCTCTCACTATCTCCTTATTTCTCTTCACGCTTGCGCCATTCTTAACTTCGAACTAACCAAGAGATGCAATACAACCATCAAGGCACACAACCCTTAATGAAAAACAATAAAGAAAATTGTCCAGCCGGCCTCACCTTGCTACGGTACCAGATTTGGAGAGTCGCAACGCTATATTTAGAGCACCACAATGCTCCGCTCTCTATTCCCAAGCATGTTTGACAGTGTTGCAGCACTGATGTTTGGAGTGCGCAACGCTGCAATGCCAGATTTTGGAGCGCTCAGCTCTCGGTTTTTCTCTAGGCAAACTATGCAGCAATGAGGCAATCGAGTACATAGTGCCCAGAAGCTCGAGTATACAACACCGGGGCGTTGTACAAGCATCCGCACTTATATGTCTCTCTGGAAGGCCATCTATAACATTAAAAAGTCCTACGTTAGTGGTCTGCCACTTTCTCCAGTCGTTCACAGCAATAACGATTCCATCCTAGCATAGCCAATCCTTCTTTCTTGATCAACCATCATGTTCAAACAAGCTAGTACATCCTAATTTAGATCCATGATATTCTTCTAACAGGTACAAAAAAAGCTGCTATATCAACATCCTTAATTTGACTTTTAACATGAATCTAGTTGGCACAATCGGACCCTTTATTGGAAAAAAAGTTTACCATACACCACATTCCTTATTTCCAAGCCATGCATGTAATGTAACCGATCTTCTCCAATCATCTGGAAAGCAAAACTGCAAACCTCTTCACACACCCTCTTTCTACAAATCCCAATCTCAACAAGGACTTTCCATCCCACTTGAAAACTCCATTCTATACCGTCAACTAACTGGCTCACTTCAATATCTCACCACATCATCCAAATACTATCTACAATGTTAACCATACAGTCATAACCCTCTTCAATGCCATTTTCAATCCCTCAAGAGGCTGCTTCATTATATCCATGACACACTTCACTAACTTACCAATCACTAAAGGTCCCCTCATTCATCAATACTACTCTTACTCTCATTGAGCGCAAAGAAACAAAGCATGGTAGCTCCTTCTTTCACTGAGACAAAAGTATCATGCACTTGCCATAGTGACAACGAACAAAATTTTGCTATTGCTCTAACAATATCTACAGGGCTTTTAGGTGGTGCTCCGTTGTTTGTTGTAGCCGAGCCTTGTTGCATTTTTTATTTATTAGATACTACTGGCTTGTCACTGGCATATATTATGAGCAATTTATGCAAATATTTGAAGGCATAATATCAATGCTTTTATTGAATTATACATTCAAACACTTAGGGACATATTTCTCATATGAGCGAAGATTTAAAGGCCCGATATCTAAGTGCTTATTGAATTCATAAAAGCAGCTTTAAGACAAATCTTGGCAGGCATACTTAAAATAAAAAAAGAAAAGACATATTTAGACAGAAAAAGTAAAACTATTGGGACAGGATTTCTTCAAACTTCGCAGCCAAGTTCTTAACAGTAGAGTGGGAGACAGCATTTGATCCTCCTAAGTACCACTTCTGTATCATCTCCACTACATTTGCATTCTCCACTTGGATCTTACTTTCACATTTTCCTTCCGTATCAAATGTAATCTGCACAACAACAACAAAAAAAAAAAAAAAAACTTATAAAAACATGCAAAATTAGAACAACAAAATCAAGCTTTTGAAATTTGATTAATAGATTAATTTTTTGCTTATTTTCTCGTTGATTTGTTATTCGAAAAGTTTATTAAATTGTATAGATTTCAAAGGTTCTTACCTCAGCTGTAGAAGGTAATGCTGCAAAATTGAAAGTGATGACAGAACCTTTCTTCAAATATAATGATTGGAAGAATTTTGTAACCTTCTCAAGTGCTTCTTCTTCCTCCTCTTCATCGTGATCGAGTGCCGCAAATTGATTTCTAACGGCACTCTCTAGTTGTACGCCATATTGTGAGCCTTTGATCTCTTTTATCACCACAATTCTAAAAACTTTCTCCACAGGAGCTGGGGAAAATTTACACAAGAAAGTAAAATAAATGAATTAGTGAATTTCTAAATAGTATATTAAATGGTTGACTCTGTAAATGATATATGATGAGTAATATTCTAACCTAAGAAAAGAGCCGTAAAGAAGAGGTCATCTTCTTCAAGCTCAGTTCTCTTTTTTCCTTCCCAGTTCTTCAGATACTGAGTGACATCCTTGTCCATGTAAATCCCAATTGCATTATACTTTATCTGAAGAAAATGGATTTCTACACTAGTAATACCTGCAAAAAAAAGAAAGAACAATAAACATAAATGGATCTAAGTCTGTTTATTTTGAGGCATTAAAAATAAATTCATACTAAGAAAAGTATTACTTCATAAACATTCAAATATTCTCTCAGAAACATCGTCATCTGAGGTTAAGGTGGGTTAAGCTTTGTATTCATTGTTGAATTTGAGGAAGCTTATGGGACAAGTAGTTTAATGAGCTTTAGACAACTTTTGTAGTTGTTTCAAGGTGTGTTCCAAATTTAACTAACAAAACTCTGTTCAAAATTTAACAGAGTTCAAGATCATATCATGCGCCAACATAATAATTTGTTCAATCAAACATAAATGATATGAGCGTGTGATAAACAAAAGCTTTAGTCAACGGTTTTAAGAAAATATATCAAAAAGAAATTATTAGATGATCATAAAAGATGGCAATTTTAGATGATTCAAAGATTTATTTCTTCGTTTTCATGTTCTTACAAATTTCACTAATATGGTTACAAGATGTTAAAATCTCAATCGTCTCTTGACCCTTGATCTCATGAACAACATGAGAAACCGTAGAAGGCTCATCTGGATCATGCTGTTAAAACTCAGCCATCCCTTGGCCCTTGATCCCACAATCAGCATGGGGATTCGTGGGAGGCTTGTTTGGATCATGTCAATGTCCTTTTATATTTAGGTGGCTGATTTAGGAAGGATTATATTAAAGCCATTATGCATGATTTTGCAGTTATTTGTTTCTTTATTAAGACATCTTGTATAGACCTATAAATATGAATAGTTTTGTACAATAAAATTAAGCATTTCCCCTCTCCAAATCTTTGAATTTAATATGATATTAGAGCAAGGTATTCGATTCTTCTTCAAAACGAGAGCATCAGAGAGGGAGAGTTGGTTCTTGTGTAATGTTACAACTCACATCCAGGGAAGCCGAGCAAGTGAAAGGGCTTCCCCTTTGCAGTCTTCTATGTGCGGCTCTCGTGCGTTCCTACCTAGGGGTCGAACTGAATTTAGAAGAGGATCAAGAGAGGGAGTGAACACGAACTGCATGCATGTGTACCTAAGTGGAGATGAACAGCACTCATGCGTGTGCTAGAGCATAACCGAGCAAGGAACGAGCGGTTGAAGAGCTGCTGTACACGCCATCAAATCCTCCACTCGAAGAGTCCATCCTTGCCCCAAATGCCGATGCTTTTGCATGTTCTCGATCCGCTACCCTCAGATCTGGGAGATGTACAAGAAGGTCGAAGCCTCCTTCTAGACACCAGAAGAAGTTGACCTCTCCCAAGATCTCTGCACTAAGATCAATCCCTCAAATCGGATGAACGCCACTTCGTGACCCACATTCTTGCCTTCTTCTCTACTACTGGCGGAATCATCATTGAGAACCTCACCAGTCGGATTTGGACTGAAGTCGGTTCATTGGATTCGAAGCTCGCCGATAGAATGGTCCTGATACAAGGAGTTGCCCAGACGATGCGCGCGGTGGGGAAGAAGATGGCTTTTTTGGTGGTAAGGCAGTTCATTGCTACGATCCAGTGCATGCTTATGGCGACCAAAGATTGGTGAGCACACAGATGATGAAGTACGAAACGTCCCTAAGTAGGGAGTTGATCGTGGATATTGAGGGTGAGGCTACAGAGAGATTAGAAGCACTTTATTCTATCCTGAAGGAGTTGGCACTTGTTGGTTCTCCTAGTTCCGACCACCGGCCTTCATTGCCAAAATTTTGAGGAATACAGGTTCCCAACACCAACCTTCATTGTTGGAATTCAGAGGAATACGGGTTCTAACGATTGTCCTTCATTGCTAGAATTATGAAGAATATTGGTCCTTCCACTTACCTTTATTGTCGAAATTCTAAAGAATATCGATCATTTTGCTTCCTTTGTGCATCCAAGATCGATAAGTGATGGAGCAGGAGAGCTCTTCTCGTGTGTAAGGTCTAGAGTAGACCGAGCAGAAGAAAGATAAGTCGAGTGAAGGACCTCCTCTTGCATGTGTATGGAAAGAGCTGAGACTTCCCTCTCATGAGGGTCTAGGGCTGGGACAAGCAAGAGTGCAAGACATGCACTCCTTCCTGAGCTCAGACCAAAGGGATAAGAGGACTTGTGTGCACCTGTACAGGGTCGATCAAAGTGTTCAGGTGGTGTCAGACGATTGATTTACATTGGGATGAAGGCTAGCTCGATTGGACGGGAGGAGATTTGCGTGCTAAGTGTTGAGTCGCTTGAGACGCATTTTTCAGTTGTTTTCCTTGAAGCTTGTTGCAACCCTAAAACATATTTTTTCCTACTGTTGTGCCTTCATTGTCGGCCTTCCCTTTTGGTTGTTATTCCATCTATAACCAATACAGCCTTCATTGTTGCCCTACTTGATATAACATTCATTACTATCCTTTGCCACCGCAATGTCTGAAGTTAATTTCTCTCAATGTTTTGACCAAATGGAGGACTTTATGGTAATGACCGATAACTCTTTTTTTTTCACTAATTACCAAGCTGGGAATGACCAATCTGTATTCCTCATCTTGAGGGGGAGTGCTAAAATCCAAACCATCCCTTGGCCCTTGATCCCATGAACAACATGGGGATTCGTGGAAGGCTCACCTGGATCACGTTGTTAAATCTCAGTCGTCCCTTGAACTTTCATCCCATGGCCAACAAGGGGATCCGTGGGAGGCCCACCTGGATCATGCCAATCTACTTTTATATATTGGTGGCTGATTTATGAAGGATTATATTAAGGCAATTATGCATGATTTTGTAGTTATTTATAATTGTATAGATCTATAAATATGGATACTTTTATATGATAAAATTAAGCATTTTCCCTCACCAAATCTTTTAATTCAACACAAGTGTGCATAATTCAAATATAAGAACAACAAAAAAAAGCTAAAATGTCATATATAATTATTTTTTAAGCATTCTCATTAAATATATCTCAATATTTTAAAATCAAAATATTAAATAAAACTTTTGGCACAAGAGATTCACCCTTGAACCCTAAGAAAAGGAGCTGCTATTCTTTGCTACATGCATACTATCACCTAACGCTATATAAAATTCTTCATGTGCAGTCAAATATCCAAAAAATTGGGTTCAAACCAATTCAATCTAATTCAAGCCAAGTCAATTGGGTTCAAGCTAAGCTAAATCGGTCTATTTTGTCTCAGCTACAAATGATTGCCACAAGAAACCAACTATGATCAAAGAGCTCACTCGCACAAAGCAAATGAGTGCAACCTATCAATCAACTATAACATATATGATCCATGAAGTCGGGCCTAACAACTACTCAAATGAAGGACTTCCTATATATGAAAATAATTGATCGATTATTCACTTATTCATCCACAAATACACACCAAGCCAAAGACTTCTCAATAGCTTGGTGACGACAACTACAAGTCGGACATTCTAACTAAGTTACACAATTTTTATATTTTTCTATTATTTTTTTATATAGTCAAGTATATAATTAATTCTGTAAAGCTCAAGCCTCAATCTAAATCTATAAAGAGAAGGTCAAGGGTGAGCTCAACTTGCTCAATTTTTTTATGCTCAAGCTAGCTTTTATAGAAATCTCCAAGCTTTCTCGCTATAAATTTTTTTTCTCCCTCTCTCTCCATTTCTTTGCTTTCTATTTACTCAATGTTCTTAGTATAGTTGGTTGTGATTCACGGACAAATTTGAATACAACACTTTGATCTAATTACAAGAAAGCTACATGTGAGCCAAGATGTGGATTTCAATAAATACGGAAGGATCTTGTAATTGGTAAAACAATAAATATATTCCTCTATTTAGAGAAGAAGACCATACAAAAAATTTAATATCACACACCTTAACTTTCTCCTATAACTTTAGAAAATAGTCTAAGAAAAAAAAAACTAATAGTTTACAAGAGGCCTATGAGGTGAACAATGAGCAATAATCTCATTTGTCTTCATAATAATCAAGAATGCATTTCTAAGAGAAGTTATACAAGATTAAATATAGAAAGCAATGAGACATGAGAGCTTGTCAAACTTCCAAAAAATCACAAACCTATTGATTTGAAGCGGATTTGTATAGCCAATGGAGAAAGTAAGACTAGTATCTAAAGGCTACAAAGTATAAGAAGACACCCATTATAATAAGATATTTGTTCTCATTACACATGAAAACTATTATATTGATATTATATATTGCAGCTCAAAATCAACAAAATATTTTTCAAATGGATGTCAAATCCATTTTTGAATGATTTTCTTAAATTCGTTCATGTGCTACAATTTATGTTTTATGTAAAGAATAGATATAAAGAAAATATTAAACTTAGAGAATGCACTATGTGTCTTGCTTAGAAAATACAGTTCTATTTTCAATCTTTTTGAGGTATGAAAAAAGAAATTTATTATAACTTTTCAAGGCGTTTCAAGAAAAACCTTGGACTTCGAAATCAAAATATTTCTAATTACATATAACAAATTAAGGAATTTAAAAAACCTCATTATTTTTCAAAAGCAAATCTTGAAATTTCGGGGCTGTTTGGATACAGGATTTATGCAGCATTTGAGCAGGATTTAGGGAACCGTTAAATCTCAAGCGAGTTAAATCCTCATTTTCGCTCTTTTTGCCGTAAATCCCGGATTTACTAAAATCCGGTAGTTCGGCGGATTTACGGGATTTGGCCGAAGAAGTGCGCGAACGGAAGAAAGATGGCTACCTTCGCAACGAGCAAGCTCCCGTCGTCGTCGTTATTTCCCATAGAACAGAAGAACAGCGAGGAGGTGTGATTTCCGATCAGACGGGAAGGAACGTCGCCGATGGAGGCGAAGAAGTTATTTATTCACTCGTTCAAAACTCTACCTCTCACGCGAAGGAGGCAAAGTCGCAGAGCAACGAACGGTGGAGAAGGGGAGAAGGAAAAATGGCAAATATGCGGCTACAGTAAGTGTAGAACAGACAGAAATATAGCGCAGAAATAAATTAATTTAATTAAAATTATTTTAAAATTTAATTTAACTAATAAATAATTAATTATTTAAATAATTTGATAATTAATTTAAATTTAAATTATATTATTTATAATAATTATTTAATAATAATAATTAATATTAAAAACATAATTAAAATTAAAATTAATAAATTATTTCATAATTATATTATTATAATTATAATTACAATTAATATATAATTTTTATTTAAAATATAAATTAAATTTAAAACTTTTAATAAATTAATCAATAATCATCTTAAATTCTAAATTATATTGCCAAAAAATTTTATAAAATTTAAGAGAAATTTATCTTATCAAATATTTTTCAAGATTTAACTCTAGCAGAATTTTATGGGATTTACTGAATTGTTTAAATCCAATTAAAGTTAATTCCCGCATGCTGCCAAACAGCCCCTCAAGCATAACAACTTTTTTCCTGCTTATTAAAGCAGCTTTCTATTAAAAAATTAAAATTTTTATAATTAAAAATTATTTCAAGCAATAAAAAAGTTGTGTCAAACAAAGCCAAAATCAGCCATTACGGTAATCATCGTACCTTGGCCTACCAAAGCCAATGGCTTGGTTCTGGTGATCTCAGCTGGGAAAGGAATTCCATCAATCAGCACCTCCTTCGAACTCATACCTGTTAAGACCATTAGATCGTTCACAAATTTAATCAATCGAAGGAAACCAAACAGCAACTTCAAACCCGTACTTCTAAGGGAGGGAGAGAAGCGAGAGCGAAAGCGCGAGAGAGACAGAGAGAGAGAGAGAGAGAGAGAGAGAGAGAGAGAGAGAGTAAGGCGGATAAGCTGCGACTTTGGCAAGGAAAGAGGGCTTTAGGGCTATTATAAAGGAGGGCTGCGGAAGAAGCGGTAGTTGGGATGAAAGGTTAATGGAAGATCTAATCAAATGGTATTACAAAGAAATATCACTTTCATTCATTTAATATTTTTATTAAATTATCAGATATGCGTTAGAAATTGTGCTATACATAATATTTACAAATTATATTAATATCAACAAATAGCTAAGAATAATAAAATATATTATAAAAAAACATAGCTAGTTCTTCTAGACACGAGATTAAGGTTTTGTTTGGGATAGCTTTCTTATTGCTTCTTGAAGCAGTTTTTTAGTATAAAAATTAAAAAATTTGTACTATAAAGCTACTTCAAGAAGAAGCAGAAAAAAGTCATTCCAAACAAAGCCTAAGGACAGATGGTGGAAGCATGGATCCTTTAATCCAAGTAGTTAGGCATTATATTCTATTGAAGTCGAGAGTTACAAAAGTAAAGTTTTTAACACTTTTTTTAATAGTGTCATAGATAATGATTGAGCATGTGTTTCAATTGTTATGCTATGAAAGTGAGAGAACGAAACTTTCCATTGAGATGAACTCCTTTCTACCTAACACTTTGCATGGATATATTTTAAATGTAGTTCTTTCTTTCTAAACATAAAAGAAAATACTAATTTAAAAGATTGAAATTCAAGGTGAAGCCATATTTCTATTTCATCTCTCATACAATACTTCACCTTTATATTATGGAAGAATTGAGCTTCATGTTTGACTAATTATTCATAGTTAGTAATTGGTTGCTTTGTCCCTTTTGTAGTGTTTTATAAATCATTGTGGCATGGATTAATGAAGAGTACTTATTTTCCTATATTCTTTGTAAATATTTATACTAAATATTAACAATAAATATAATTAGATAATTAATGGATATTAATTTGTTATTAGAACTATTAGGTTACTAGGAGCCCATAAAGGTTATAAATAGGCCTCCTTGGAATACTAGGACATCAAGCAAAATGTGAGATCTCTTTAGATATTTAGCTTCACCCTCCTACTTGAAGTGGGCTCTTTTGAATTGCCCAAAACCTCCACACACCCTTCTATATGGCGCTATATAATTGCTAGAAATTATCTAGTTATTTTCATAATGCGATATTTTACTATTTAGTTGTATTTTTTTCTATATTTTCTAAAAATGGTGTTCTTGTTAAGCCTCACTGACATTCGATGTTGACTTTGATGTACCCTCGTCTAGTTTCATGATCTTATCCATCAATGTTGATTCAAATTCTCGCACAAAACTCCTACAATCATCAACAACTACCTATCCGAAATTTTCAGATATGTCTCATTAGATCTGTCAACAAAAATTTATTATATCCCACATTAGATCTGTCATTTACCTCCAAACATACCACTACCTCCTCCTCTCACCATCTCCTTTCCAACAACTACATCCACGACCTATAAAGCTTCATTAAATCTAGCCATATTCTTCTTGGACTAACACTCTTCTAAATCTCTCATCCTCAACACCCTATGCTTGCAACACAATTATCCAATATCCCAAATGTCAACATATCATCACCAATCATGTTCACTACTTCGCCTTTTATGATCCAAAGCTAGATATCTTCACCCCAAATATGAAAAATCCACCAGCATTCACCTTCAAAATCCTTGCAGTTGCCAAATTTGATATTGATTCCACCATCGACTCCACCAATCCCATCATCCGAGCTATCCACAAATGTGTCAACCATTAGATTTGACTAGTGCAATGAATTTGATCTGCCATCTTCAACATCCGTCCATACTTATTCGTCTTTCATCCAACAATATAGATCTTGGTAGAACCATCATTTTTTTCTTATTTTTATTTGATCAATCTTGAGGGCTAGATATTTATGAGCGAATAATGCTAATAATAAATATAATTGAATTATTAATAGGAATAAGTTTATTATTAGGTTATTATGGATCCTTAAGAACTATAAATCGGTCTCCTTAGAATATTAGGGCATCAAGCAAAACATGAGACCTGCTTAAAACTTTGACTCTCCCCCTTTCTCCTCCTATTAGAGTTATGGGCACCCCTAAAATTTTCCCCCTTTATCTGGAACTTTAGATATGTGAAAATTTTTTGACATATTTTCTTAATAAAATAGTTATATTTATGTATAATTTTTATTTATGTATTTCTGCAAATGTTTCTATCAAACCATCCTTTTTTATATGTATTTACAAATGAGCATGAGATATTTATCCTTCCAAAGCTGATATAAAGATGCTGCAATAAAAAGGTATTATATACTCCATTGATCTTTTGTTAAAAAATGCATAATAAAAAGAATATAAGGTACAAAAATATTATATAATTGAAATATTTTAAATTATTCGGATACGTGTAAAATAAATGTATATAATTATTTCTTTATTTATCTTGAAGTAAAATGAATGCAGTGTACTCAAAACCTAATAATAATGATGACTGGTGGCCAACGCAATGCTAGTGGCAATGTGATTGGCTTCATGATGACTTGTGGTCTGCTGGATGGGATGATACTTTTGAAAGCAATTTGTAAACTAGCTCGTTTGATAATTATGTTAGGCACCGTAAAATGAAATCCTTGCTTCCTCCTCTATCTTCTCTTCCTTGCTTGGGGTCCCCCTCAATAAAAAATGAGAGGTGTTTTATAATTTTTTGGGAGTAGCATTGCCAATAAATAGGAGGTAGAACAAGGGTATGTTAGGAGTGGTTTGAATGGACAATTGATATTGATCATCTTGATCGTGAACTGCTTTGGGCATTTAAATTTCTTAATGATATTAGAATTCAATGATCTTAAGCTCATTGGATTTGTCTTGTCGAGCCGCTCATTTCGACTATAAGCATGTCACGTTTGGAAATTGTTTGGTAATTCAAATTATATTTTGAAACTTCCAAAAGTGCTTAAGCCTTTGATTTGGACCCATTTGGGCTCATGCTGGGTCGAATTTGGTGTCATTGGGTTTTTCTTTTCGAGACGTTCAGTTTGACTATAAGTGAGCTTAAATCGGAGAGGATGGCCCGAATATATTTTCAAAAATTTTCTAACGTAATTTTGCCTCGAAATTTGTGCCCAATCAAGATGAATTTTTTATTATATATCATAACTAATTGATCAGCATTGTATAAATGATCATTTGTATTTTGTCTACATAAATTTATTTTAGTCTAATTTATGAGCAAAATCTAAATTTGATGTAGCGTATTTTAAGCTTTTTTTTTTTTTTTTTTGAATTTGTACGACATAAACATAAGCGAATACAATTTTGCAAGACTTAAGATGGTTGTCAATTATTTTTATTCAATTTAATTTTCAAATCATATATAAATATTAATTATTAGGCTTAGAAAATTAACATGAAGATTAAGTAATTGACAGTTCTCATCTTTTTTATTTTTCTGAAAAATAATATTCAAAATACGTTTCTTTTTAATGATAAATGAATGGAAAAAAAAAAATGAAAGAGACACGTAATATATTAATAAATTATTTAATAAAATCTTTAGAAGCTATATAAGAATAGTTGGTTTCTGAGCGTATAGCCTTATGTATGGCTGATCCTGCGGCCAATTGTCGTTGGTGGTGAGACCCGACACGTCTATTACTGTCGTGGGTTCCCAATAGACACAAGAATTTAAAGCCTTTAATGTTATATTAAAGTTTTATAGGCAAGTAGGTTTGACTTGAAAACGGGTCGTTCCAACAGCTGACGTGGGCCCAACGCTGATTACTCGCCGCACTTTTAGAAAAATGAGGGCAAAATCCCATTTTCTTTACTTATTATTAAGCCTTTAAATATCGGATTGGTTCAACTGATTGAATCATGAACCGGACAGCTATGATTTACTATAAAATCGATTTCACATAAAATTGCTATCAAACCGACAGTTTGACTATCAAAACGCTAAAATGGTCCCCGTTTTTTAATAACCGGGCGATTCATCTGAAAAATAATTTTAGTCGTTCAAATTAAATCAAATGGCCAAAAATTAGCTAAGGCAAAGCTTATACTTATACAAAATGAAAAAAAAAAAACTTTCTAAGATTCTTCCTGTTCGCCTGACTCGCCACCTATTTCGTGAAGCCATAAGGAAGAAGGAACCGAAGAAGAGCATGCTCGACTCCTCTCCGTCCCACTGATGTGAGTTCAACACTTATTTTCCTCAGCCTCACTCTGCTCGATCCTCCTCGCATTTATGATGTGCTCTTTGATTCTTGCATTTACTATTTATTTTAAGATACTTTTTTTATTAGCATGTGGTATCCGAAGGTTGAAGAATATATTTTGTTATTTCATTCTTAAACTGATTTTTTTGGGGAAAAAACTGCATGCTAATAATATATTTAACTTTAAATTTACCAAATTAATTTGTTATGTTTGTTTTATGCTTCATATCATGATATGAAGCTCCGTACAACATGCATATTTTTTTACATGCAATTCTAGACAAAATGTATTCATGTTTCTTTTCGTTGTTTATTGATAAGCTCTTATTAAATGGTTAAAATGAATCACTTTTTTCAATATAGATCATGGAGTGTGACACCATCAGTCAATTAGATGTCTCCAATGCATTTCTCCAAGTTCACTTATCAAAAACAGTTTACATGGCTCGACCTTCGGATTTTAAAGATTCCATTCATCCGACATATGTATGCAAACATAATAAGATAATGTATGGCCGCTTAAAGTAAGCTCCTAAGTAGTGATATTTTACCTTCACATATTATCTCACCCAATAGGGTGGGGTTTCACATTTAGCACAAAGATCCATCACTCTTAATATACTATAAACAAACTACTTTACTTTACCTTATGGTATATGTTGATAATACTTTGTTGGTGGGCAAGAACTTCAATATTATCTCAAACCTACTGGCTAATCTTCAACACAAATTTCACTTGAAGAATCTTGGCACCTTGACTACCTTTCTCAACCTGGAAGTTACTGTAAGCCTCTCTTAAATCTTATTTCCAACTAACAGGACACTGCACCAACTTCTACGCTCTCATTTGTTGATCCAATCCTTTATCAACATCTAGCATGCAATCTCCAATAACTTACAATAACTAGACCAAATTTAATATTTGTTGTAAATCAAGTCTGTCAACATATGCACACACCCCTCAAAATCAGCATTTTCAAATGATAAAATGAATTCTTTGTTACATAAAAGAAACACTTCATCTTGGTTTACTCTTAAACCCGATAACCTACATTTATATGCATTTGTAGATGCGGATTGCGGTGGTGATAAACAAGATCGTAAATCAACTACTAATTATTGTGTGTTCCATGGGTCAAATATTATCAGCTGGTATGCCAAAAAGCAATCTATAGTAGCCCACTCTTCCAAAAAAGCAGAATATAGAGCTCTAACTTCCACAACCACTGCAATTATATGGCTTCTTCATTTACTACTTTAGTTTCAAATTCCTCTTCTATTGATATATATACACTGAATGTATACGGTGAATAGTATGAAGCACATATAGGTTTTATACTCTGTTAGTTAGGTTTTGTTACAGAATAACACATTCCAATTTTTAGCGATGGTTTTGTCTAGGGTTTCCATTTTCCTCCTTCGGCCTCTTCTTCCCTAACTCCATTTTCTCGCGATTCGATTACTATGGAGGATAATCGCTTACGGGATCCTGGTTTCCTTGATGGTAAACCTAAATCTAGATCTTTTCGGGATGCTTTAGCCGGTGATGCACCACCTTTGGGGTTTCCGCCTTTGCGGGTTGCTTCTCATCAGGGTATGCCTGCTTTACTAATTTCAGATGAGGAACTCCATACTCTTGCTATTCCTTTCGAGTTTGCTTTGGTTGGTAAATTTCTGGCCCATCGCCCGCCCCTTGATGTTATTAGGAAAAAAAATTTCAATCTTAAGCTTGCCGGTGCTTTTTTTGACATGGTTTTGAATCAAAAAATTTTTTGATTAAGCTTGTGAATGACCTGGATTACTGATCGATCTTACTTCATTTCCAACTGTTTCATGAAGATCTTTAAATGGACTCCTCTTTTTGATGTTTGTGTGGAATCGCCCATTGTTCCTATTTGGGTTTCCTTTCCTAATCTCCGTCCGCATTTGTTTTCTCCTCGTATCCTTCACGGGTTGAATTCCATGTTTGGTCGGCCTTTGCGTATCGATAATTCCACGATGAATGGCACCCGTCCCTCTGTTGCTCGTATTTTGGTAGAGTTGGATGTTACCAAACGATATGCTAAACAAGTTTGGCTTGGTTCGGAATCAGTTGGTTACACCCAAGCGATTGAAATGGAGGAATTTCCCTCTTATTGTATTCATTGTAAGTCTTTGGGGCTAGCGAGGGATTGCTGTCCGATTTTATTTCCTAATACTGTCATTTCTCTTCCCAAACGTTTGGATGTGGATACTGTTATACCTGTTACTGCTACTGTGGAGGATCCTATGGCTGTTGAGGGGGTGAGTGTGAATGTTATTGATTCTTGTTTTGCGCCTGTTAATGTAGATTATGTTATTTTTTCTCCTTCGGCCGATGCTTCTGCCGGTCAGGCAAATGGGATTGGGGATGTTGTTTTTCTTAAGGAGGATGGTTTATTGGTCGAGTCGGCTGAGACGGTGAATTTATCAGGGGATTGTGGCAATGCTGAAGCTGGTGCGGTTTTTGATGGTTCGGCTAGTTTTGATGTTGGTTGTGTGGCTGGTGAGGCTTTGTTGGTGCCTAGTATTAGTCCGGTGGTCACGGCGGTCCAGGTGGATGAGGCTCATTCGGAGTGTTCTATTCCTCCTGTTTTAGGTGTTGGTATTTATGGTTTGAATGTGGACTTCTCCGAGGACTGTGGTGGTGTGAATAATGTTGTTTCTACTGTTGGAAGTGATGGTATTGTTGGGAACGAGTTGCGGGTCAGTGCTAACTCTTTTATTTATGTGCCCATGAACTTGATTGATACCCAAGCCTTGGTGTATCATGTGGGTGATAATTCAGGGTTGAATGTTAGGACACATCTTGATTGGTTGCGTTCGACTGATGTGGAATCCGATTCTGACTCCTCGGATTATTGTGATTGTTCTAATCCTGGTCAGGATTTTAGATTGGTTCGCGATCGTCCTATTGCCTCTCGTGGAAGGTTTCGTGGGCGGGGCAGGAGAGGAAGATAGCTCCTTTTTTTCCGTGACTTTGATATATTTGTTATATTGCTTTAATTGCTACTATTTTTGGTCTTCTAGCCTAGCTGCGGGTTGATGAATTTTTTGGGCTATGATGTGGCTGGGGCTCGCTTTCTCCGTGTCATAGCTGGTGGCAACCTTTGGTGATGTCTTCGCCTTATTGGATGGTCTTTTGCATGCTTGGGGGGGCTGGGAGCCTCGGCCTTTTCTGAGCCCTCGCTTGGAGTGCTCCTTGTATTTTTTGCTGTTTCTTTTTGGTTTCTTTGGACTTTTGCTCGCTATATTTTTGCTTCTCTCTTCCAGTTATTTACTGCTCTGGCTGTATGTTATTCTGTAGCTGATTACTTATACATCAATGAATAAGTTTCTATCAATGATAAAGAAAAAATTTTTGAGCTGCACTAAAAATATGACAATACTCAAGCATTAAAAACCGATCATCCATGTCCAGCAATTAAGATAAAGGTAAACGATTTTAAAGTAGGATATCCTGCTTTTACGAAATCAGGGGCAAACATATATTAATTTAGTTATAAATTTAATTAATTACTAAATTCGGATAACTATAATTTGTTTACTAATGATCAAAATTAAATAATCTTATGAAATTAAGATTACTGCAATTACAACTAATTTAGTGATTAACATATCTATTTAATTTTTGTTGTTAATTAATTATGGATTAATTTAGAAATTATTTAATACTACTTAATTAAGATTACTGTAATTATAGTTAATTTAGTAATTAAGATATTGATTTAATTTATCTTTAAGATACGAATTAGACTCACCTTTTTATATTAATCTATTTCCACAATCGTTAGTAAAAAGCATGGAAAAAATTGCAGGCATGATATGAATTTTATATGAAAGTATTTTTTTCCGCTACTACAATACAAAACACAATAATTTTAAAATACGGAAGGAAATTAGCCACTTGGTTTTGCTAGAATGAGGTTTTTTTGTTAGTTAAATTCATTTTGAAGTACGTACAAAATAGATTAATATAATTTTTTTCATTTTGCGCTGTTATAATACAAAAAACCATAAACAATTAGACCTGTCAATTTCGGGTCATATGTCGGGTTCGTGTCGAACCCGGAATTGACCCGGTACTATTCGGGTTCAAGTCAACCCGACCCAATTTCACAAACGGGTAGATTTTTCATACCTGAACCCGACCCGCTTCGGTTAATTTTTCGAGTTCCCGCACGGTGCAAAGGCAGGCTGGCAGCAGTGCGGCGGCGGCAGCGGTGCAGCAGCGGCAGTGTCGGCGAGGGCTACGAGGCAGCGGGCCCGATGCAAGCGGCGACGCGACTCGTGAGTGAACAAAGCGGAGAGGTCACGCCGCGCGTGGGGCTCGATGCCTCGATGCGGGCTGCGGGTAGGCGGGCACCCCGGGCACGCGGCACACGCCTATGCGATGTGCGCCACGCGGGGTCGCTGGGCAATGGGCAGAGCCGGGCAGAGCGAGGTAGCTGGGGAACGGGGCAGTCGGGCAGACTAGGGCAGAGCCGATTTCGGGTCATTCCGGGTTTCTGGGTCAACCCGAACCCGACCCAATTTTGCAAACGGGTCGATTTTCTGGACCCGAATCCGACCCGCTTCGGGTTCGGGTCAACCCAAACCCGAAATATTATGGTCGGATTCGGATCAAGTTTTCAGGTCGGGTCCCATATTGAGAGGTCTATAAACAATACTGCATGATGTTTAAAAAGAGTCACATAGAACGAGTGCGAACGAGAGTTAGCAAAAAGAAATCATGGGCGCGGCGCAATTTTAGCAAATCAAGTTCGGATAACTATAATTACAAATTAAGATTACTGCAATTATAATTAATTTCAAATCTCACATAATTTTAGCAAATCAATCCTCCGACCTTTCCCAATAAGCCATTATCCCCTCAATTTCAAAATTGCTCACAATTTTAATTTTGGAAGATATATTTCGTTGGATCCCTATCTAAATGCAATTAAATTCCAATTCCATTATTACCTTCTCAATTTATTAAGTAATTACATAAATCAAGCAACTTTCTTATACTATAAATATGTATTGGAAGCATATTCAAAGGTCTGAACTCAAGAAATCATGGCTAGAAAGAAAGTAACCCTCGCATACATAAGCAACGATGCCACCCGCCGCGCCACATTGAAGAAACGCCGCCGCGGGCTTCTGAAGAAGGTGAATGAACTGTCGATCCTTTGTGGTGTCTCTGCATGCGCCGTCGTGTATTCCCCTCAAACCGAGCAACCGGAAGTATTTCCTTCCGTGGAAGAAGCAAAGAAGATACTGACAGACTTGTCGAACATGCCGGAAATAGACAAGAACAAGAAAATGGTCAACCAAAGAAGCTTTCTTGAGCAACGGTTGGTGAAACTAAGCCAGCAAGTGCGTCGGTTGGAGCACGAGAATAAGGAGCTGAGCACGGCTGTTTGTCTTCGACAGTGTTTGGCGGGGAGGTCAGTGCATAGTTTGAGCAAAGAAGAAGCGGATGATATGCTGGACTTGGTGGATAGGAAGTTGAAGGCTTTGCAGGTGAGGATGCATCAGTTGGGGCCGTTGATGTTGCCACCGATCATGATGGAGGAGATCGATGTGAAGGTTGGTGGGATTGGTTATGAAGGGGTGGAGATTGAGGGCATGAGGGAGTATGAGTGGATTGCAGGGAATGGTGGGGTGGGGATTGGACGGGGGGAGGAGGTGATGGGAGGTGGTGGAGGAAGTGGTGTTGTTGGTGGTGAGGGAGCAGAACTGATGGAAGTCTTGATAGAACGATTAAGTGGCAGTAGGTCGGCTTGGGAAGAGAGCTTATTACCTTTACCATCTCCTTACTATTGATGATTGGTTTAATTTAATAAGTAGGTAATCAATTTATTATAGATGGTTGGCTGCTAGCTATCTATCTTGTTTGGTATTTCTTGGCCTATAATTTTTTTTTCTACATATTATTATAATTTATAATATATTGATCTTCAAATATATTCAATGATTAACTTTTTCATGCATGGTGATTTCTGATTACTAAAAATTAGGTTCTATTTAGGACAACTTTTTTATTATTTTTATTTTTCATATTATAATTATATCATCCTTTTGATTTATATTTTTTTTTATTTCAATAAAATTTTGCACTAGAAAGTTGTTTTTTAATAATAGCTTTAAAAAAATTTATTTTTCTCGCAACAGCTTTACAATTATCTTCACAAATAGCTGTAGATATATGAATTAAATCCTTAATCTATGTTTTGAAATTATGCTTCTTGATTTAAGTGATCTTATGTTTGTAAGTTATTTCAATCTTTATTACTTGATAATAGTGAATCTTGATGTATTAATTAATACTTTGTAGTTATTATTGTTAACAATGCTTTAATTGTATATAAATATATATGTTGAGCACATGCTTATTTAAATAGAATATATTTACTATAAATTGTTTTATAAATTATTAGTTAGATTATGAAAGATATATATATATATATGCTTAAATAAAATCATTTTACTATATTTGAAATGAATTGCAAATATTATATTTTATTAATTATCTGTTTAAGGATTCGTTTGGGACAACTTTTTTGTTGTTTTTTAAGAAGCTTTTTCATACAAAAAATTTTAAATTCAAAAAAAAAAATGTACTAAACAATTATTTTAAAAAACAATAAAAAAAAGTTGCCCCAAATGAAGCCTAAGATAACTTCTTTGTTGTTATTATTTTCAATCAAACAACTACAATTTAGGCCTCGTTTAGGACGGCTTTCTTATTCCTTTTTAAAGTAGCTAATTAATACAAAAATTAAAAATTTTGTATTAGAAAGTTATTTTAAGAAATAGCAAGAAAGTCATCCCAAACGAAGCCTTAATTTCACTATTATTCTCATAGTACTTTCTTACTGTTTTGTGATGAAAAGTAATTTTTTGCAATCAGAGTAACAAAATTCTTTTCCTCACATTAGCTTTATAATCAACTTTATAAAATGCTCCACTCACATTAAACAAGCCCTAACTAAGAAAAAGGTATAGACAAATGAACAAAAGTCCTTAATAACCTCGAGTAGCTAAATATAACTGTTGTATATGTTCTAATTATTTTCTATTATTTGCATTTTGTGTTAGAATTAATATATGTGTTTATTATAGATTGTTTAATGGTTTAAATTATTATTGTAATGATTTTGAATTAATAATATGTCATATATGAATCCTTTTATTTGTTGAAATTATTTTATAAATTTCACATGAATCAATATTATGAAGAATATTGCTTAAAAATATATAATATGTTTTGTTAGCCTTTCTACAATTATTCATATTGTATTTATTAGATGCTTTGCTGTGGTTTTAAAGGTTTTAAAACCTAATTTAGTTTAAATGGGCGATTTCAATTAAGGATATTTCCTGTTTTTTTGGTGGAGCATTAATTGCATTTCTCTAGTCATTGATCATAATTTTAATGAAATGTTTGAATTAAAATTTCAAAGCTAATGTCTGGATTATCATTCAAATTTAGATTTAAGCAAATTAGTAGTCGAAACAAAAATTTTGATGAGACAAATGTAATGAAAAAAAAATTATGATATTGAGTTTAAGCTTTTGTTTGGGATGATTTTCTTATTGCTTCTTAAAGCAGTTTTTTTAAAAACTGCTTTAAGAAGCAGTAAGAAAGTCGTTTCAAATGAAACTTAAGTGAGCCTAAATCAAGTCGTTGAAGTACAGTTAGAGATTGATGATATCATTTGAGGGGCCAAATGTTCCTTAAATTTGTATGTTTTTATTCAATTTGAGTGTCTTGTCGAAAAGGATCCAACGAACCCTAAATCACTTGATTCCTTTTATAAATTAGCGGAGGTACAATAACTTCTAGACATATTTCTTCAAATAATAATTAAAAAAATATTTGGCCATTAATACTATGTTAAAAAAAATTAAAATTTGCATGACTAAATATCATACACACGCATATATATCATGATTATTCTTTGGACGCCGTTCAGTGACCGCACATAATAATTTCTCTCCAATCAAATCCTAATTTGAAGAGTGAGGCGGCAACTCAACCAGCGACCAGTAAATAGTTTCAAACGAACTGAGCTATGTTCAATAAATGCAATTGCACAAATTTGTAAAAAAAAATAAAAAAATCAATTTTCTATTTCATACCCAAAATTGAATTTTTTCAATCATATTTTATCCACACTTAAAAGAGAGGTTGATTCGGTTGTGAGAGGGGGTTATGTTTTTGTTTTTTAATAATAAAAACAACATTGTACTGGCTATTATACAATAGATGCCTTTTTTTCTCTATCCTATTATCAAAGTAAATGAAATGTTATGTGCTTGAAAAAACATTTTCAATTCTTTAAGTTTTTTTTTTTTCACACTATGTTTAAAATGATCTTTATTTCTAGTTTTCTTAATGGTTATTTCGTCGATCTTATATAGAATAATATATGCCACTATTTAGAACAAAGGAAGGAGATTGAGGTTTTGTTTGGGATGGTTTTTTTATTGCATTTTAAAGCATTTTTTTAGTATAAAATTTTTATTTTTTTATTAAAAATTTATTTCAAGAAGCAGTAAAAAAGTCGTTTCAAGTGAAAACTGAATTAATTCTTCTGTGATTAATTACTTCATGGTCAATTAAATCAGTTTTTTTAGTACAAAACTTTTTTAAAACAACAAATAATCAATGCCTAAAAGTTATCTCAAACGAAGTTTTAAATAATACAATTCATAATCACCGATCAATACATCTATTTTTTTTTTTAACAAAGACAATTTATTCATATAAGAAAAGGATCACAACACTAATCGGCCAATAGCCAACGCAACAAAACAACAAAAAACACAAAAGGACAGAACAAAACAAAAACAAACCCCGGTGGCCAGCCATGAACCATCTATAGGATACAGTTACACTGCCATAAAAGCAAACAGCCAAAGCACCCAGATTGCCAACCAGCCGAGCCAACAAGGGGGAAGATGGGGGCTTCCTCATCATCATCCAGAAAGGCCTCAAAAACCACAACCGTAACAATAATAAGATATGCCAAAGCCTATTTCTTTTTGCCTTTACTTTTACGCCTTTTACCACCAACATTGGGACTACCTTGATCAATAAAACGAAATGCCAAATCCACCTCATCAAATTTCTCTTCCTCTCCCCGAGAAGGTGAAGAAAGGGAATCATTCAAAACTAGCCAATCCGTTTGAATCAGAACATAGTTATTAACAGAATTAGCCACATTAGCCTTCAATTTATTATTAGACATAACAGAGATAGGAACATTAATAAAAGTGGAAGTACCCTCCAAATCAGTATTAGCACAAGATTGAGATAGGACATTGACCGACACATTCGAATCTAAATTAACAAGAAAAAAAAAGACATAACATCCTATTCCACAGATATAAAGGGAGAAGATTCACCACAACCAACCAACTCTCGGATAGGAGATACAAAGCCAGAAGGCACACATCCCCAGAATTAACCTCCACGGACAGTTCTCTCAGATCAGCCACAACATCCACACAAGAAAAACTAGCTTTAAGATTAGCACCACAATTCAATTCTTCCACCTCATTAGCACTCAACCGAGGGGCAGGGGAACTAGGTTCCATCCATCCCAACCACGACAGCAGGAATAAGGACAATATTAGGGGCAAGGGAATCAGGTTCCATCCCAATCTCAACAACAGGAATAGGGACAACATTAAAAATAGAAATATCCCCAACCAAACCATCAACGCCTTCTGATACATGCCAAGTAGTCCCCAACTCGATAGGGATGGCATCCTCCCCCACAGTGAGGATAGGCATTACAGGAGGTAAAGAAGAAGGGGAAGATAAATTCAAATCCGGTTAAGCAAAAGCATTTAACGAATCAGTCGAAGGAAGAGGTTAACAATTCCCAACTACATGACCAATGCATTTACATGAAGCACAAATGGGAAGGAATTCTTCCATAACAACTTGCTGCACCTAACCTAAATTCTCAGAACCTAACCAAACCTGATTTGGATAGGATTTAGTAATATCAAGCTCCACCAACACACGAGCCAAGGAAGGCCGAGATCCAACAGAAGTGGCCAATTCAATTTTGAAAGGTTTCCAAAAAATAGAGCCCAAACCTTGAAGAATATGAGGGGAATATAGACGAGGACGCAATAGCGGAAAGGAAATCCAAATCGGGATGACCGGTGACTCAACACCAACATTTAAAATGGGAGACCACTTTGTGAGTTTCATGTAACAGTTGTAAACAAGATAGGATCTATGATAAAAAAAACCCTGCAGTAATCAAGATCATTAGCCAGCTTGACACGCGACGACTCAAGCAAGGTGACGTAAACTTCACCATTCAACTTAAGGTTGAAAAAGAATCTGCGAATGGAACTGAGAAAGGGAAGTTTCGAGGGAAGAAGCCAACTAAGGAAAATTGAAACGGAACATCCAAAGCATTTATTTCTTGCTCGGAAATCCAAAGGGAAGGAAAGCCACGAAAAGAAGAGGTCTGTAGCTCCAGAAAGCTAGCAACCGAAGAAGAACCCGCAAGCGCTTCAAAAAACAAGCGCGAATGAGTCGAATCCCTAAAAAACTGGGGTTGCACAACCTATTCGGCACCATCCCGACACACGCCGGAGAAGAAAACTGAACACAAAGCGAAAACCCAAAAAACCAAATAATACACTAAAAAAGGCATAGAGCACTTCCCTGTAAATCATCAAGATCGTCAGCGCCAGCAAGGGGGAGGCCCCAGCAGGGCGGGGAAACCCCAGCAACTCTTCAGAAAAAAAAAACCCTAGCAAAGAAAAAAAGAGTACGAGCGTGAATTAAGGGTCAGGTGATTTTTTTTGTCAATACATCTATTCCTAA